AAGGATTTCACAATCTCATTGGTTATTATTATATTTTAAATAATTATTTATTTATTTAATTTCATTTGTTATTATTAGTAGTTTTTAATTTGACTGAGAGAGACCTACGGAGAGAGAAAAGGAAAGTGAGAAAGCAAGCCAGGTCTGGGACTCGAAGAGTGGTTGGCCATATGGGAGTCCAGTCCTTTAACCACCACACCACCTGCTGGCCCCTCTCACCTGGTTATTAAAGAGATCTGAGGCTCTAATGAGGGTGAACTCAGGTGACCAGATGACTACAACATTTCTTCCAATTAAAAGATGTGTGAGTTCTGAGTGACTTCGGGGTCATGTTAGTCTGTGTCCTGCTCCTTGGCTTGTCCCCTCTCTGTCCCTTCACTCCGCCGCTCCACCCTAAAGCAGCTGCAGCAGGGAAATGGGAAGCAATGGAAGGCATGATGTGTAGTGGGAGGGCACAGCCAGGGTGAAATGCTCTAACCTTCATGCTCAGGTCAGGGCAAGATCCAGAATGAGGCCCACGTGGTTGGGCAAACAGACAGAGGCTTAGCCAGGCCCCGGAGGAACACACTCAGCGAGAGTAAGTGTCTATTTAGGCTTCTCCAGTGGCAGCAGCAGCAGCTGCCAGCGCTCTGGTCCAACCGCCCGCACTTTGGGGTGGAGCAGGAGCTCTGCTGAGAACTGCTTCTTGTTAGTGCAGCGTGGCCTGACACCAGGGAGTTGTGACCTTCAGTCTCGTTTGCCTTGTAGGTTTGGGACTTGGGTTCGGGAGTTAGTTGAGGTACTTTTCCTATGACGCCCCTTCTCCCTCCCCTTCTATCTAGCCATGATCATCTATAGTGGATTTCAGTCCTAAGCTGGTTGACTCCTCTGACCCCCACCCTCCCACTAGGGAATGAATGCTCATTAAGACAAACTTTTTTTGTTTGAATTACACACACACTCACAGAGAGAGAGAGGGAGAAAGCACCCCTCAATGGAGGTCATGCTGCAATCCCTTCTCTTCCGTTTCTCCATCCTGTTGGGATTTTAAGCCTGTTGCACATGTGCCTGTCATATTTTCAAGCTGACAGGGCTAGGATCTGAACGATAGTTGGCCATGTAGAATCCAGCTCTTCACGCATAGGACTTAACCACTGCACTATGGTGCCAGCCCCAAGACAAACATCCTTTTAATATGAGCCTAGCGATATTACACTGAGTAAGCAAATCTCCTGAATAAACACTATTGTACAGATTCCAAAATGTGTAATTTTCCCTTGTGAGTAAAGCATTATGAACAGTAAGTATTAAGCATCTTAAGAATCTTCATCTAATTCGACCTAGTAAGCTTATGCTTACTTTGAGAATTTATTCTTGTGAAAGAATCATCTTTGTTTTGTTTAGAAGGAATTAATTAATTAATTTAGCCATAGGGCTCATGTACACTTTGGAGAGGAGAGAGACAGAGAGAGGGAATGTGAGAAATCACCCTCTGGGGGGAATGGCCACACCACAATCCTTTCTCCTCCTGGGATTTTGGGCATGCATGCACAAGTGCTTGGCATGATTTTCAAGCTCCCTGATCTGGAACCCAAACCATGATCAGCCACATAGGAGTCTAGCACCTTAACCACCGTGCCACCTGCTGGGCCTATTTTAGTGAAATAATCTTAAATAAAGGAAAAGCTTTATGCACAAAGATTTTCATTGCAATATTATTGTACTGACAAGAAAATAAAGAGAAAGGAAAAAAAAGAAAACAGCTTAAATATCCCTCTGTGGAGGATGACTGATTAAATTAGGATAAATCCCTTCAATGAAGTGTCTTATCTTGTGGTCACAACAAAAAAGGGAGTGGTACACTGATCAACACGGAATGTGTCTAACACTCTAGATTCTTCCTTGAACGAGGGTATCTTTCTAGCTTTTGCAATCTCTCCTGGGTTATTTGTACTTTGTTGTGATTTCTGTTGCCATAGGCCATTGAGAACACCACGTGGGGTGGCTCTCCATAAATCTACAATGCACAGTCCTGGGAATTACAGATTCTGCAGCCCTTTTCTCTACAGTAATTCCTTTTATGGTTTAAGAGCCAAGTTTAGATGAGAACTCTCTGTACTTTCTGCATGACTTTTATGTACACCTAAAACCCTTGTAAAAAAATAAAGTCTACTATTTTTTAAATTCTGGGGGGGTGAGGGGGAAGAAAAGCTTCAAGCTTAGTAGCTGCGTGGATTTTCTTGTTTGTTTGTTATAGGGCATGTGTGCTCTTGAGGAGAGACAGAAAAAGGGAAAGTAAGAAATCGACCTCCCAGTAGGGATGGCCATGCCATAATCCCTTCTTCTCCAGACTCCTCTTGGGACTTTGGGCATGCACGCACACATGCCCAGTGTGATTTTCAAGCCACCAGGTCCAAGACTTGCAGGCTGCCAAGTGGGATCCAGTTGCCTAAACTGTGCCATCGGCTGGACCTCTCAGCCATCTCTGTCAGCTACTGAGAATGCAAAGTAGAGGTGGCTGATTAGTAGGGATTTTAAGAAAAATCTGCCAGTCATCTTGGTTTATGCTTCAGATATGAGCAAAGGGACAAAGAATCTAGCTAAGCCACTGTTCTCTTTGCTTTTCAGCATTTGGGAGCTCTAGGGGAAAGTGATTGAATAAGACAAAAACAACAAAGCACAGGTTTAGTAGAAAGACACAGGGGAAGCGGAGCCATTGACTTAACGATGTGTTCATTCTAACGCTCTGGATTTGCAAAGTGGCCACTGGTTTCAAGGGGGGACGGAGACGCTGGCCACTGGTTAGTATGTTAAGTGTATGTGGCTAATGCTGCTTCATGGTTTACTATGGTCGAATAGCAATAAATCCAGTTGGGAAGAGCCTGAAAAGCATTTATAACTGTGAAACAAATAAACAAACAAAAACAGAACAACAATAACAACAAAAGCAGTCCAGGTTACCACTGACAAAAACCCTCATCTCATTACCCCATCTCTACCAGTGCGCTCACTGAGAACATTTTCACAGCCACACAATTCAGTGGTGGCTATTCCCTAGATACGTGCACACTAAGATCCAGCCCAAGAACATTTCTGCTTGTCTCCCAGCTGGCCACTAGGACAGGGATGAAAAAGAGGCACTTCACTGACCTCTTGGAAAACTCTGTGTGCCTCCATTCTTCATTCTACTTCCCGGAACAGGGAGTGGGGTAACTGCTACTCGTTCTGAAGATAGAACCACTTAAGGACAGTGTTCTGAAGAGAGGAAAAGTCAGGGTACACAGCAATCCATAAATCGGCAGCTAGCTATTAACCACCTACTGTGTGTTTAACACCATGCCTCTTAAAATGTGTCAGAGGGCTGGCTCCATAGCCTAGTGGTGAAGGGAGGCAGATCCCACATGGCCGACGGTGATTTGAATCCTGGCCCTGACAATTTGAAAAACATGGTGTGTGTATGTGTGTCCCAAATCCTGTCAGAATGGAGACGTGGAGAAGGAATTACAACAAGACCTTCTCCCTCTCTTTGGTTTTCAGTGTCTCTCTGGTGAGTACATGCATCCTCTGGTAGTTAAAAAAATGCCTAAGGTGGGGGCCAGCAGGTGGTCGGTGGGTAAGGCACTGGACTCTCACATGGCTGATCGTGGTTAGAGTCCCAGACCTGGCAGCTTGAAAATCAGAGAGGGCACGGATGCCTGCATCCCTAAAATCCTGAGAGGAATGGAGAAGGGACATAAGTGTGGCCATCCTCCCCGGGGCTGACTTCTCGCTTTCTGTCTCTCTGTCTTTCCAGAGACTGCATGTGTCCTATAGCAAAAAATCTCTCTTTAAAAAAAAAAAAA